AAAGCAGATTTCTTAGTATATGAGCAATGCAGAGTTTATTCAATGTCTGATTTTTAAGTGAAAAGAGATCGCTATATACATGGGCAAAGCCAATGCAGTGCGCAATGCCGAGGTTGTGCGCGGTGCCTAGTTTGTGCAATTCTAGGATGTTTTTTTAAGTGAAAATAGATCGATGTGTACATGGCCAGAGCCAATGTAGTGCGCAATGCCAGGTTGTGCAATTCTCTGATATTTTTAAGGTGGAAATAGATGGATGTGTACATGGACACCGAGCTTTGATGTTTTTCGAGCGAATACGGATCGTTGTGTACAAAGGAAAACGAGATAATGTGTGATGACGAGCTGTAATGTAACGTATTTTATATGCAATGTTTAACATATCGTTTATGTATTTTAAATTTGTATTGTTGTTTTAATTGTGAATTATATTTAAGACCATTTTTCAGTTAAACTGTATTTTTAATTTTTTGGTTTTGATATGTTTACAATGCTTTCCGACTTACGATATATATCGATAGCCCGACGATCTACTCAACAGTAGCAAAACTGTAAACTTTGACCCTATAAGTAACTTTTACCTCATTATTATAATACGTAGTGTTTGCAATCGTCATCGCACTTGATAATATGAGTTCTTTGATAATACAGTGTCTCACAAAAGTGATGGGACACTTGTGCTTTACAAAAGGAAACTGTAATAAAATAAATTAAAAAAAACATGTAAAAATTATTTGTGGGTGTGTTTTATACTTAAATTTAGTAACAATTATTACATAACATAAATTTTCTCAAAATATTAATTTAATAAAAATACAATGTTTAGAACGGAGCAAAAAATGGTTCACATAAGTGATGGGACACCATTAGATACTACTACGTACTATGCAACAAAAATCGTCTGAAGTAAGCAATAAAAATATTTTTTGGGGTTTTTATTTTTACTCAAAAGCAATTGGCAATAATTTATAAAATCGTCTGCAGTATTTCTCTCCAGTTTGTTTTGGAATTTTTGAGTTTTTTATCTCTGTGCAGCCATGAATGCCAAACGAAAAGAAACTTTGCCTGAAATTCGAAAATTAGTTATTAATTTGCATATTGAACGTGGAAATTCTATTAGAGAAACTGCTGAAACAGTTAACCTGAGTCATTCAACAGTTTTCAATATCATTAAACGATATAAAAAGAATCATATGATTCAGGATAAAAGAAGACCTGGCCGACCATCAAAGCTATCCAATGGAATAAAGCGAATTATCGTTCGAAATATTAAAAAAAAAAAATCCAAGAATGAGTGCTCCTAAAGTTGCTGCTGATTTACAAGCATTATATGGAGTAATTGTTAATCCTGAGACTATTGGAAGAGTAATTCGATTTGCTGGATATCACGGTAGAGCAGCCAGGAAAAAATTCTTCGTGAATGAAAACACCAAATTATTTATTAAAGGTGAAATAGCTAAAGTTTCTGGTATTGTTTTTAAAATTACATCCTTTAAATCTTAACCATTTTTATTAATCATTTCTTAATACTTCTTTCTCTTAAAATCGTGTATAATAGTCGTAAACTTATTTCCATTATCCACGATTTCTGGTGAAATCAAGATGGCCGCCATTTTTTGAAACACGGAGTTTCGTCGAAAATCTGGATAGCAACCATTTTTCAAAACAACGTATTTCATGTGCTTTGGCGCCAAACCAAATTCACCAAACTTTGAAGGTGGGCTATACTAAAGCTGTTCCCAAATTAAGATTTAACTTGAAATTAATGTAGCTATTTACTGAGAGCATTAGATTTTTTTAGAGTAGTTTACGTGAGATGAGATCGCTTGGGGTCACGTGATATAAACCGGCGAATTAGGATGTTGAACCATGAAAGCATAGTAAATTCTTAAATTAATGTCTTTTTACAAATTTATTGTCTTTATTTATTGTCTTTTTATAAAGTTTTAAGCGATATTAAAATGTTTATGCCTTCAAAAATGAATTCTTAGAACTAAAATTTTTTTAATATTTTTTATGTGTATACTGTATGTTGTCGCCAATAAAGTCTGCTTGGCGAGATTTGCGCCGGCGAAACGGAAAAGTACCAAAATATCTATTTTGACAACCCTCTAATCCACTTGAACGATGTTTTAGCGTGACAGAATAAAAAGGACTCTTTTTTCCAAAACGCATTGTAAAATGGGTTTAAAATGGATTCAGAAGAGATTTTCTTTCTGACGTCATAACTTAGAAACAAGTAATCTTAGAACGTTGAAATTTTGTATATGAGACAGCTATAACCTGTAGTTGTACATCTCCCTTTTTGGTTGCAATCGGCTACACCAAACATATATTTATCTACTATGTACATATATACTCACTCTGTTAACCGGCTCGGTGAGCTTACATATATATAAACATTCTAGTTAGGAATATGGATTAGTATGTATTTAGTAGGGGATACCATATTTCTCGCGAAATAAAATTACGAACAAAATTGTATGAAAAAATTACCTATTACATAAATATTTATGTACTTTAAATGTAACGTTCGTATTTTACAGAAAAACTCAATTTCTTTGAACAAATTTGGTCATAGTTAGTTCAAAGTCATATAATTCATCAGCTCCTTGCATTGGTTGCTTATTTTTGCTTAAGTTTCATTTTTTATTTAAAAAATAGGTATAATTTCTTGAAAACTATCTAAAATACCATAAACAAATAAGGCTAATAATTCATTGAACAGAATTTCAAATAAATAAAAATTCTGCGATTTTGTTTGATGCAAGAGCTATGGGAAAAAAATACTATTTTATACAGTGGCTCCCTAAAGTGTTCGTACACTTATGATTTTCATTGAAATAGGGCTCTATCCATTAATTAAAAGTAAACTTTCTTAATAAGATTTTGATAATAAGATCTATAATCTATTCGTAACAAAATCACATGAAATATTTTTAAAATATAGCGAAACTTTATTTTTAAAAAATTAATAATCAAGAAATGACACACATTTTATCTCACAAAAGTCTTAGTATACTGAAATATTTTTGGATAAAATCAAAATTAGAATTATCGTTTGCCGCTTTTTTTAATTTTTGCATTGTGATGGCATTTAAAAAATCGTTTGCTTTAATTTTTTACGAACTGGTTTTAATTTTTTGGTTACTTCATAATATTCTATTTATTATTGAAAAACATGGGTCCCAGTCGTAAAGAAATTACAAACAGCATTCGAAAACTGATAATTTTTCACCATACTAGTGGTAAATCAATTCGAAATATCGTTAAATTAGTTAATTTATCCCATTCTACAGTGCAGTATGTGATAAAACGCTTTAAAGAAGAAAATCGGATTGAAAACAAGGTAAGAAAAGGTCGATCGAGAAAGTTAATTAAACGTGATGACAGATTTATTATTAGAAAATTTGTGAAAAACCCACATTTGAGTGCTGTAAAAGTTTCTGCAGAATTTAATGCAAAGTTTTCTACTTCATTTCACCTCAAACTGTTCGACGAGTTCTCAGAGAAGCTGTATTACATGGGCGTTTCTGCCCGTAAGAAATTTTTTGTTAGTGAGGAAAAACAGAAAGCTTAGAAGCTTTCTGTTCTGAAACAGAAAGCTTATATACAGAAAGCAAAATCAATGATAAATACACCCGAAACGTACTGGAATAATGTCCTATTTGCTGACGAAAGAAAATTTAATATTTTTGGTTCCCGATGGTCGAATAATTGTATGGTGAAGATAAAATGAGGAACTTCATTCTAAGAACTTAGTTGGAACACTTAAGCATGGCGGTGGAGGTGTTCTTGTGTGGTGGTGCATGGCAGCATCAGGACTAGGTAATTTGGTATTTATTGATGGCACAATGAATCATTCACTTTATTTAAATATTTTAGGAGACAATTTAAAATTATCAGCCCAAAATTTGGGCATTGGAAACAACTTTTTTTTTTTAATCATCATAACGATCCTAAGCATACGGCTCTCAACGTTCTCCTGTGGTGTCTCTATATAATTGTCCACAGGTTTTGAAAACACCACCTCCGTCGCCAGATTTAAATCCTATAGAACACATTTGGAAAGATCTGGAGGTTAAAGTACGGAAATACGACATGAAAACGGAAAGCGAACTCAAAACAGTCATGATGGAAGAATGAATGAACATTGATACAGAAATTACAAAAAACTAGTAAAATCTATTCCCAGATGTTTAAAAGGTGTTGTGGATGCTAAAGGATATCCTACTAAATATTAATTTAACAAAAATGAAAATATTTACTAATATGTCAAGATTTTTTTGAAGTGTACGAAGACTTTTGTGAGATAAAATGTTTGTCATTTTTTTATTATTAATTTTTAAAAAATAAAGTTTCGCTATATTTTAAAAATATTTCATGTAATTTTGTTACGAATAGATTATAGATCTTATTATTAAAATCTCATTCAGAAAGTTTACTTTTAATTAATAGATAGAGGCCCTATTTCAATGAAAATCATAAGTGTACGAACACTTTTGGGAGCCACTGTACCTTCAGGTACAGCAACATAACTAAAACGTACTAACTATTTAACTCCGTACTTTATCCATTACAAAATACACAATTACGTTCTTAGCTAAACGTACAGCCAGTTCGGTTAATACAGATACGGATATAAGTATTTGAAATACAAGCTATACGAACTCAAATGGTAAATACCTTAGTATTAATGAACATACTTTAATGAACATTTCCTTTCTGGTTATATATTTTGCATCTCTTCAAACAAAACAGAATAAAGTTCATTAGATTTGCGAACCTTTCACACAAGTCTAAAGATCAATAATAAATTAATATTTTTGTTACTAATACAGTTTAATTTTTGTTCTTTAAACAAGTAAAACTAAGCGATTTTACATTTTTTTTTTATTATACCATATATTATTCTGCGCGATTTATCATAAAAAACTGCTGTCTTAAAATTCATTATTCCATATTACGCAATTAAAGATCTAATTAAAAAATTAAATACTTACAATCTGCAGAGTTTACGTATTCAGAAACTGCGTAAGTAACGCATAAAAGTAAAATTACAACTTTTAAAAACATGGTTGTAATTTTTATTCGGCAGAAGCCTGGGAATAAACTGTAATAACCAACGTTTAGAAGCAAACGTTTCAAACTGATGATCGAACTTATATTTTCTCTTACAACTTTAAAAAAAGGTTAAAGGTTAAAAGTTTCCATGGCTACCAATGAGAGCTGAATTGTAGCACGTGATGTGTGCTCATAATTAAAGAATTCTGCGGCGAGTTGTCAGCGCTGAAATAAAATGTGGACGTAATTTCCTGCCACTGATTTCGAAAAGAGCTCGAAGTTCGCGCTTTAAAAGCATTGGTGTTTTTGTAATCTTTTTAGACGTGTCATTGACGTCAGTATTTGTGTTTATAATAAAACTAGTAACAGCTAGAGAAAACTGATTGATGACTTTTAAGGTTTGAAAGATTTAAGATTTTTTACTGAAAAAGAACAAGCTTTTCTCCATGCAGCAATTTTATTTTGACATTTTTGGCTTTAATCAACTCCATTGCTTATTCACGTACAACCGGAATTTTGCAATGTCGTCTTATTATGTCTTACATTCTCCTTTTCACGTGATGCGATGATAGACTGATTCAAGGCGTGTTTTTTTGGGGGGGAGGAGGCACTTTCATTAAAATGGTATCAGTATGTTGTTTTTAAAGTTGCGGTTACAATGACGTCTTGTTTTCGTCTTTTTACTTCCTTGTACGAAGTAAAAAGGGAGTATTGTAATAGCGAAAAGTTTCAGGCAGCATAATTCAACGAAAATATCCATTTACGATGTTTTTGCGTTTCTGTACGAACGTATGTACGTACGTACGTATCTCGCATAACACAAAAACGAGTAGCCTCAGAACGTTAAAATTTTGTACATAGGACTCCTATAACATGTAGATGTGCACCTCATATTATGGTTGCAATCGGCCGCACCAAACGTATATAAATATATTTATATATATAACCACTCTGTTACCCGGCTCAGTGATCTCAGTTTCTTTACTCTTATATGTTTGTAAATTCTACATTTTTTGCTTTAAAAATGATTGAATTATGTTGTTTTTATCTTCCGGTTAAGGTTTTTATGCCTTTAGTAAATCTGTATGCAATATTTTTAGAATTATCAACAATTTTAAAGTTGTTTAAATGCCGCTAAGCCTAATAATGTTTTTGATGGCGACCATTGCTTGTTTACATTTGAAACAGCAGGATAGTGGATTTGTTGTCAATCTAGAGAAACTTAGCTTCACAGCAACAAAGATAACGCCTTCATTTATTATTGCCAATTAAATCATGCTTAATCCTTTCTGGAATTTGTTCGAGGAAATAAGTGTTTAAGATTTACTTCGTAATTTTTAATATAGATATTTTTAGTTTTTATGTATTTTTGCCTTCTCGCGAAGTGAGAACTGAATTAATTGAATGAGAAATACTCAATCGTCTGTGAAAAACCGTTCTTTTTCGTTTTGTTTGCCTAATTTCTTTTATGCATTATTCTAGCTTTATTATAGTATTTGAATAGAACATGTGGCAACGATTAGATAAATCTGTTCTTTAAATGATATAAATTTTGTGCATTATGAGTTATAATATGAACGAAATATAATACTGTTAAGTGAATCTAGCGCCAGAGTGTCGCTATGGTAAACAAATACTAGAGTGAATTTTAAAGAATGCATTTATTCTATTGTGGTTTATGTGCTGTCGGCGAAGTAGATTTAATTCAATCCAATAAGTTTAAATGAAATGCAAGAAAAAATGCGTATAATTTAATATTCCGTACAAGGAAGTCGTGGTGTACACATCAGATTTTTTTAAAAATAAAATCATGCAATCTTGAAATGTTATCTGATTTGACGTTCACTGTTTAATTTGGTTTGATTATTTAATATTGTCATTGCTGCATTTCTAAACTGCGAAAGTCTAGTGGAGCAAAGATGTCCAAATTTTCCTCCGTATAAAAGAATGGGATTTCTATAGAGATTTGCTTCCACTGGATCCAAAATACGGGAACCTTTAATCTGTAAATGGAATACCAGCCCCTGAGAGTCCGAAACCACAGTCAGTTCTTTCTATTCGACTAAGAATTCATCACGAACAGCGGTCATGACTTTTTTTTTTTTTTTTTTTAATGTAAGTTGTCCTCATAACATTTTACGCGCTGAAGAAGGACCTGAACTGAGAGCCTGAATATCGTCTAAGCCCACAATGTCTTGGATTTGGGGCTCCAAAATCCTGCTTATTGCTCTTTTTCTCACTTTCCTTCCTGAAAAACAGTGAAGTGGTTACGAGGGGGGCCTCAGAGTAAGCGCATTGCTCAAGATCTCAGAATGGTTTAAATAAGGTGACGAGACGTCCCGATTTAGACGGGACAGTCCGGATTTCAGACTTTATGTCCCGAGGTCCCTCGCTTGTCCCAGCGGGACGCCTGTTTGTCCTGCTTTTCTGCAAAAGAGACTCTTAACGTGAGTTAACTCGAATTGGGCGCCACGGCGCATTGGTGACACCTCGCTGATGCTTGCTTCCTATAAAGCTATGATGTCATCACTCAGAAACCGTCAAAAAAGCGAGGAGCGACCGAGTTGGTGGCTAAGGCACAGAAACACCATGCGCAAAATATCTGTCACCAAAGCTCCAAGCCGGCGTCGAAGTTTGAATGTGACGTTTATCAAGAGTCCATAAAACGAATATCGTTTAAAATTTCTTTTAACTTTAAAGGAAAAGAAAATATTTTTTCGCGCAAGTATATTAATTAATGGATTAGTTATTTTGAGCAAAAAAAAAGTGCGAAAATCCGAGTTTAAATTATCACGAAAAGTCAAAGAAACGTTTTGTCAAAGGACATTTCTTCTTAACGCCTTGTTCCTCAATTTGCTGTACTGTCTGTCTACGAGATGAATAGCTCCCACCACAGTGTCTCGCGGGTGGCGGTCGCTATAGCAACAGGGCTAGTATATTTCAAATAGGGGCGAACCAAGGTTGGCCAATTCCTCTTTAAATGTGCCAAGATGGCAAACTGGAAAGTAAATCTTCAAGACACCCCTACGGAAAATGGGTCAAGGCTCGTTTCTACGGCAACAGACAGCTGCAGACAGGCGAAAGCTTTTCTTATGATAGACAGACTATACACATCGCGAAGGCGGAAATTCTCGCCGCCAGGTTCCGTCACCAAATTCCTTGGCGAATTTTCCCTCCTTTTCAGCGACGTAATAGCAAGCTGGTTCACATTACGTTCTATGGAACCTTTCCTTCTTTACATAAATGTTCTTTGGCTAAGGTGGTTTGTGCTCGCTATTGTCGTGTTTCGGTGGTGATTTATTTTTTTCTTATGTGACTGATATTACTCGAGTCTCCATTGAGCATCAGTCATGCCAAAACGAAAGCCGAAATTCAATTAGGAGTAACTAGGCGAAGTTTCCATTCATAAAGAAGGTTAGAAGGCAACACCGATAGTGACGTGAGGTGCGAGAGATGTAGGATCACATTTCTCCGTCGCTCACAGCGGGCGTGGAGATATAATGAAGCATTTGAATACGGATCGTCACAAAAACGACCTGAAATAGTCTTCATCGTCAGGTACGATTACGAACTATTTTTCAAGATCTGAGTTAGATGAAAAGGAAGCTCGGTTGGCTGCTACAGAAGGTACCTTTGCGTACCACACGATTTATCACAATCACAGCTTTAGATGGATGGACTGTACTCCCAAATTAATCCAAAATTCACTTGCGCACGAACAAAATGTGAAGCCATCGTCACGAATGTACTTTGTCCATATGTAATGAACCAAGGCAGAATTAAATGTCGTGAATTTTGTGACAGTATCTACAGATGCGTCGAATCCATAAAGCTGCGTTCAAGCTATTTCCAACGCATAGTGAGATCAATTTTGTGCCACTGTCAAGGTGTGAAAGTTAAAATCCTGGACATGCAATCTCAATCTGGAGAAACAGCACAGACGATTTGCAATTTTCTTGTAAATGCATTACAACGGCATGGTCTGACAAAAAAAGGTTGTTGGCTTCTGCGCAAACAACGCTAATACGAATTTCGGAGGATTAAAAAGAGGTAGAAACAACATTTTTGCAATATTACAAGATGCCCTCTGGAGGAAACTGCTTGGTATTGGTTGTGCTGCTCATATTTGTTCACAACGCAATCCAAACAGCAGGAGATTGCTTGCAAATTGATGTGAAAGCAGCTATTATGAAAATTTATTATTATTTTTATATCTACACTGTTCGTGTTGAGACATTCAAAGAATTTTGTGACTTTGCCTGTGTAGAGTACTAGCGCATTTTAGGATATGGGAAAACTAGATGGCTATCACTGATGCCTGCAGTAGAGATAGTTTTAAAATTGTTTCCTGCACTGAAATCCTATTTCTTGTCAGAAGGGAAGTGCCCCACCTTAATCCGCAACCTTTTTGAGAATTCCAGTGCTGAATTGTGGCTCTGTTTCGTACATAATATCGCTGCGATGTTTCAAGCGGCAATTCTGCACATAGAAGCACTGACTGTAACAGCATTGGAAGTATCTTCTGAACTTAATGATTTAATACATAAATGCACTAAGAGAAGCGCAAAATCCTTTTTGCCAAATGAAGTACGTATGATGATTACCCGATGAGAAGAGAAAGGATTGGCGAGAAAAAATGACATTATAAGAACCATTGTAAATTTTTACAACTGTGCTGGATATCTGAAAGGGAGGGTTGAGCAATTCGAAGATCTAAATGCATTTAGTTGGGTTGCGTTAAAGGAGCCAATGTCGTGGCAAAAAGTACAAGAGAGAGTGCAACCTTTTGGGTGGAAGATTCTGATGGTTGACATCGATGATAACGAGTTATTTGACGAAGTAAGCTACATTGGGCGATTCACTTCACCACAAATGATTGCAGATTAGAATTGTCAGAAAACTAGTCTCGACTGTCGATGGGCTGAAATTTTTCGTCACTTCAAGTATAAAAATGTGCCATGTGCGCAAATCCAGAAAATTGTGGAGTTTTTGTTGTGTTTTCCAGGGACGAACACCGCCAGTAAAAGAGTTTTCTCGTCTATGAATATCCATACGGAAAACTGAAAAGATACAGTTAAAACTGGAAACACTACAAACAATGTTAATGGTGAAGTGCAATTTTGAGTTTGGCAGTTTCTGTGATGAAGTCAATGAAAGACTTCTATAAAAGCCAAAACTTCTTACAAGCATTCATT